TCAAACCTTGGAAGGGGCTCGGGTCTAGATTTGGAAGCAGATTGGAGGTAGAGGTTCACGTAATCAGCAAAAGTTTTAACAGGTAATCGTTTCCCGTTCAACTCAACCTTCACGGTCTTACCCAATGTTCCAGCTAGATCAACAACCCTCTTTTTCATCAGTGCAACCACATCTTCTTCAAGATGGTCCATATTGAACTTCAGCAGGTCCGGCTTGAACGTAACCTTAGTCCAATTCTCTCCTTCCTTGCATTTGGTAATGGAGGGCTGGGATTTGGTTCCCATGTTTCCGGTGAACACCTATATTGGAGAACTCATTTGTAAGAATATCATGAGAAAGAATTAGCATCCTGAACCAGTACTTGGAGTGTAAATCTTGGTAATTTATTTATGACAAAGATCAGCATTGTTACAAAGCTAAGGTCCTGAATTTGATATAAATAGATTTAGGGTTTTACCGCGGCACTCCTTGCAGTAAATTACATAAAATCAAACAAAACGAAATCTAAATAACACCATATTTCATATAAAAGCAAAGCAAACAGCTATACATTTCAATTTCAGCAGAACTTCACGGATTCAAATCAAACATAATTTAGGGCTATCATGAAACGGATTCTTAATATATATGATTGATTTCTTAATTCCCGGAGGGGAATTTTAGCACATTCGATGATCAGCACATGCCAAAATTATTAATTCAAAGATAACTGACACATTTTTATCTAACCTTGTTCCCTCCATTTGATTGCTACAATCCTGCAATCCATAAATTTGCTTTAGTTTTGCATCGCCTCTACATTTGTATATTGTGATTGCTTCTTTTCTCTTTTCTCAATCGCCCAAGAAAATGAAATTTTGTCTTTCTATGGAAGGCTTTCTGCTCCTCCAATTCATATGGAATGAATTGAAAAGTATTTGTAATCTTGCCAAAATTTATAAAACAAGGGAAGTAATAATACAGAGCTGCATATTCAGCAATATCTAAAGCCTAACTCCCAAAATCTGAAAGCGGGAACCATCTTCATATCAACGTTCTCCGATACCCTAATAAGAGAACGTCTCAAGAAGATGATTAGCATAAACCCTAACCCAGAGGGTGAATCATCGTTCTATTAAAGTCTCATAAAAGAAATCTCAAGACGACTGAGATCACAAATCCTAACCCAACAGGCAGATATCCTCAGAACTAACCAAGAATTCACAAGAACTCAAATTACTAAAAAAAAAAGAAAGAAGCTGATTCTTTGACAATTGCCTAATATATATACTTACAACAATAATCTATTAAAGAATAAATAAGGAATATATAGTATAAATTATATTACATTTATACAATTATTTAATAAATGATGAATTAAGAAATTGAGTTGTAATATTATTAGAAAATGTTTTGGAATATTATTAATAATTAATTAATCTTGACTTGTATATTATTATTTTGTTTATTGTTACTAAAATATAAATTTATATTAATAAGGAATATATAGTATATGCTCATTTCGTATATTGTCTTTAAGGGTAAATCCACTCATCCACCTGAGTGAGCATCCTCATCTATACAACACTTAACTTAATATTAAGCTTCTCTTTTAATGGTCAATATTTTGCACCATAGAGCAGGTCTCACCAGCATCTTATAGAATTTTCACTTAAGTTTGAGAGGGACTTTTCTATCACACAACAAGCTCGATACATTCCTCCACTTCAATCATCCAGCTTAAATTCTACTGATAATATCTTCATATATTTCATCATCACTTTGAACAATAGATCCAAGATATTTAAAATGTATACTCTTAAAATTTAGTATAAAATATAAATTTAAATAAGTAGTTATAATATTACAATAAATATATATTCATTTCTTTAATTCATGCTATATTAGTTATTCATATAGATATATCTAGTGTGCAATAATGATTTTACGTATTTGCTCCTTTTTAAATTATCTACTAAACATGCTTCTTCTACTTAATTAAATTAAAAATTTGCTTCTTTTTTTAAATTTGCCTTTAATCGACATGTGTTAGAGAAGTAAAATGATGTGTATAATTTGGCAAAATTATAATAATATCTTTTTTCTGACTATTTTGTCTACATATAATTAATGAGAGAGAAAAGATTAAGTTTTTATTTAAAATAATGAAAATTATATCAGCATTGATGACAATTAAAGCGTCGGCTTTCTATTGACCTAGTTAGTAGAGCAAATGCATTAAGAAATGTATGAGGATAATTAGAGGTAGATTTAAAAAGAATTGATAAGAATTATTAGAAATGACCTTTGTTTATTAGATTTGAATGAGAATTTAATTTTTAATTGACATAACGGAGAAAATTGATATAGCTTAAAAGGGATATTTTCTAAGAAAAATTTAGCCCAAAATAATCTTTTGCAAATTTTGTCACTGTAACGATAAGACTAACATTGGTAGCTAGTCCACAAATCTTTTGCAAATTTTGTAATATTAGAGTTGCCAAGTTCATACATCTATAAATATTTTCAATTTTAGAGGAGAAAAAGTCACAAAAATAGCAAAAAAAAATGTAAAAAAAAAAACAAATCATAAAGATTCAGGCTTCGTTTGTTTT